CCACTTCAGACTCCCACCACCCCCCCCAAACCCTACTGACAGGTATCATTTATTTAGCACCAAGCAATGTGCTAAGTTTTACATATTTATTTTCATAGTTTGAGGTACTATTAGTACCCTTGTTTTTTTTTTTTTTTTTTTGGTTTTTCGAGACAGGGTTTCTCTGTAGTACCCTTGTTTAAATGGTTGTTGTATAACAGTTTCCTCCATAATTAAAACATTCCATCCTGCAGGCTAGCTTAAGCAGGGAGGTAAACAACTCAAGAACTCCCTGAAGCTGACCAGATTCACTAGGCCCCTCCCTATCTGAGTAAACAAAAAGCTGAGACACCCTCAGGAAGAAAAGCTGAGCTTCACAGAGAAAAGTGGCAAAAACGACTATTGAGACCAGACTACTGCCTAGAAGCAGACACCAGCAGAGCTGCCTGGAAAAGCTTTAGACCACACAAGGAAAGGGCACTCTCTAACCTGTTGCCCTGTCTGCAAGGCTGTGCGGTGCTCCAGGTTTTTGGGGGGGGGGGGGAACCTTTTGTGATGCAGCTTTGAGTCACTTCTGCTCCTATAAATAACTCTTCACCCGTAACCCTGTAAGGAACCCCAATAAAACCCCAGTTCATAATCTGGCATGTCGTGGGCTCCCTATCTGGGGCAAGTAGAGGAATGTTTGCTCCCCAGGAAAAATTTTGTCACACAACATTAGCAAAGATTTAAGTTTTTCTTTTTTTTAATTTAAAAAAAGGAAATCAGAAATGGTATTGTTGGCTTTAGTTCATTTCTCAAAGCAGCAGCATCAGACTAAACCACAAAAAAAGCCCAACCAACCCCACAAAGGGTAAGGAAAAGCTGACAGCCTGTATATCACTGAGACCTACCAACTCAAGAGGAAATAATAGAGATAAAGGCCCTAAACCAAACAGCATCACACACACACACACAAACAACAACAACAACAACAAAAAAACCCACAACCAGAAACCATGGCAGCCCACCTTGAGAGCAGCAGTTAAAAATGAAATGCTCTTGGCCACTCCACCAGTGGGTGAAGAGAAGATCTGAAGGGAACACTTTGTGCTCACACTGAGCTCCTGAATGTGGCACAACAGAAGCCATATCTAGAAACTAACCACACATGAAGTGACAGCTATTGCTACACAGTGAGACGGAGTCTCCAAATAGGAGTGGGTGGGTGAACACTACAAATGGGGTACATTTTGTTTAAAAAAAAAAAATGACATTCTTGGGACTGGATCTTAAAATGCTTCAGCAGTGAAGGGCACTTATTGCTCTTCCAGAGGACCTGGATTCATTTCCAAATACCACAAAGCAGCTCACAAGTCTGTGACTTCCCAGTCTTCTGATCACATACTTCTGATCCCAGCAGGCATGGCATTCGAACAGTGGAGACAAACACTTAGGCAAAAACACCATACACATTAAAAACAATATTCTTAGCTAGGTGGTGGTGGTGCAGGCCTTTAATCCCTGAGCTCTCAAGGCAGAGGCAGGGGGATTTTGGTGAATGCAGACCACCCTGGTCTACAGAGCAAGTGCCAGGACAGAAACCCTGTCTTCTTGGGGGGGGGGAGGGCAGGATATAACATTAGCATTATTTCCACCTTTTTGAGTGTACAATGATAGACCCATGTAGTGATTTCAGGATATACTAATCCCATCATTCCATTTCCAGAATCAGGGATTTTTGTTATGAAAAAAGTTCATTCACAAGCTCCACACTATGGGGATGCAGCTCAGTGGTGAAGCACTTGCCCAGCACACAGAAGGGTCTGGATGTGATCCCCAGCACCAGGAAAACAAAGAAATCACTATCTGGTTCTGCAGTTGTGACAACTCAATGGCTGAGCACAGGACTAACATCAGCAAGGCCCAGATTCTAGTGAAAAACAAGCAAATGCTACACCTAGTTTGGAAAAAAAAAAATCTAAATCACTAAACATAATAAAGAATATAAAAAGCACCAATCATTTTAATACAGAACACCTAAACACACAATATCCAAATGAGGTAGTTAAGTAGAGGATTCAAAATCTGACAGATTCTCAGGCTACCTGGTAGTCCAAGACAGAGGACAGGATATAACAGAATATTAAAGTTACCTTTTAGAAACTTTCAACTAGAGCAATGTGCTTACCAAAAAGTTAAGGCAGTTTGTATAGACCAGACTGATAAGCATCATAGTCCAAGATAACCCCCCCTTCTTTTTCCAAGAAAGGTTTTTTTTTTTTTTTTTTGCATAGCTTTGGCTGTCCTGGAACTTACTTTGTAGACTAGGCTGGCCTCCAATTTAGAGGCCCACCTGCCTATGCCTTCCAAATTCTGGGATTAAAAGAATGTACAACTACAACCCAACTAAGATAATCTTGTATGTCAAATAAACTTTGGGAAATAAATGCTTTTCTTGTGATGATTCTGATACAGAAATAGCATAATCCAGTCAACAACTCAAGAGAGGCAATGTAAGCAAAGTTATCTTAGGGACTTATTTAATTTTGAAATATGGCACCTAGTCATCTTTAGGCTTTTCTATAAGTAAAACTAGTGATTTGCATCCACTTTGGGTTTTCTGCCAGCACATATAAATGTGTACCACAATCATGTACTGTGCTCTCGGGAGGCCAGAATAGAACATCAGATATCCTGGAACTGGAGTTACAGAGAGAATTGTGAGCTTACAAGTGAATGCAAGAAATCAAAACTGGGTCCTCTAGAAGAGCAGCTAGTGATCTTAATCATTGAGCCATCTCTCCAGCCCAGTAAATGATTTTTTTTTCACTAGAGCATTCCCATTTTTGGAGAAAGAGACTCACTGTATAGCCTTGGCTGTCCTGGAACTCATTATGTAGACCAGACTATTCTCCAACTCAGAGATCTGCCGTCTCTGCCTTTAACCCTCTGCTGGGATTAAGGTTGTACACCACCATGCCCAGCAAGGATTCCATTCTTAAAACTGATATGCACAGAAATATTAGTCACATTACGTTGATGAATATATTTCATCTTTTCGTCTAAGATTTTTTTTTGCGACAGGGTTTCTCTGTGTAGCTTTGGAGCCTATCCTGGCACTTGCTCTGCAGACCAGGCTGGCCTCGAACTACAGAGATCCACCTGCCTCTGCCTCCTGACTGCTGGATTAAAGGCGTGAGCCACCAACAAGACAGAGTTTCTCTGTGTAATCCTGGCTGTCCAGGATCTCATTCTAGGCCAGGCTGAATGAACATGAAGATCCACCTTGCCTCTGCCTCCCAAATCCTGGGATTAAAAGTGTGTGCCACCACCTCCTGTCCTGAATTGATGTATTTTAATAGACCACTAAAGAGGCTCTGCTTGTTTAACTACCTAATTATGCAGGTATTTTTTCTTCCTAAAATCCAGCTACTTATTAGAAAGTACAGTCATAAACAAACCTTTTAAGAAATGAACACTTGTTAATAAAGAACAGAAAGCTGAACATGTTGGGGCTTGCATGAATCCTAGCACTACAGAGATGAAAGCAGAAAGGACCTAAATTTAAAGCCAGTAACTCAAATTCCAGGGAGTGAGGGGGTCGGAGACAGGGTTTCTCTGTGTAACAGTCCTGGCTGTCCTAGAACTCACTTTGTAGACCAGGCTGGCCTCGAACTCACTGAGAACTGAGATCCACCTGCCTCTGCACTGGGACTACAGGCATGTACCACCACCTCCCAGTAGCTCAAATTTTTAAGGGAGTAGCTCAGAGCAGGGCTCTTGTCTAGCACATGAGGTACTAGGTTCCAGCTCCAGTGCCAATTGTAACAATAACAATATAAAGACAACAACAACAAGGAAAGCTGAGCAGGCCGCTCACATCTGTAGCCCCAGTACTTGGTGGCTGGGATAGGACTGACTAGAGTTTAAGGTCATTCTGGGCTATCTAATTCAGAGCCATCTGAGCCATAGGGTGATCCTATCCCAAAAAAGTAAAAACTGTCTGGCATTGCTGCCCAAGACTTTAATTCCAGCACCTGGAAGGCAGGACCAGTAAGGACCACTGAGTTCAAATCCAGCCAGGGCTACAGAATGAGACCATGTCTGAAAAATGATAATGACAGAGAAGCTGAATGTTAAACTAAGCAGACAGCTCACTAACACTAAACCCAAAATACCCTTTCCTCTCCCCTGCTCTCCACCCTACACTACTCAGTGTGTACAAAAGCAGGCGGTTGAGAAAACAACTTCTACCACATCAACTGGAGAATAAAGCAGATTTTTCCCTTTGAAAAAATACAGTATAAGTTCAGATTGACAACATTTGGAAACGAGCCTAGTAAGATGTTGGGCATGTGTAATAAGTTAGCTAACCCAGAAAGTCAGGACAGTGACAACTTCACCATCTGGAATGTGTCAAATAATCACCCCAAATCCTCAAGACAATAAAACAGGTTAGACTTCAAACAACAACATGGATCTGTATGACAACAAAAGGCTGGATACAGGACAGTACAAAAAAAAAAGTCAACAACAAATCCCTAACAGTATCAAAGCCACAAAATTGTGAGACTAAACCTGTTTGCAATGATAAAGAAACACCATAATGAAACATTCTTTTCAATAGTTCTTTCAAATTAGTAGGTTCTCCTTGTGCCAAAGCAGATATGCAGAAAACTTTTGATAAATTCTTAACAATTGTTATGCAACACACAGGAGAGCATCTTGCCTTTACTTTGCTCTTTAAGGCCTCTCCAATTTTTTATTGTATTTACTTCTTTACTGTTGTGTGTGAATCTGAGCACAACTTTTTCGAGTCAGTTCTCTCCTTTCATTATGTGGGACTCCCTATGTGGAATATCCAGTCCTGAGGCCTGGCAGCAAGCACCTGTTGGGCTGTCCTGCCCATCCCCAGGGTCTCCGATTTTGACAGATCGATTATATAAGTGTTCTGAAACCCTCTTTTCCCACTTTTCTAAACAACTCTAAAGATAGTATGTTTGTGACCATGAACCCATCCACCCATGCGTTTTACTTACATTGTTTCTCCAGTCTTTGCTACATGACAGAGAAACTGATCTAGGACGGGGCAAACCTCCTTTTTCCCCCTCTTCTCAAAATCTAGATAAGGATAAGGGGGGAAGAAAAAGAAAGGTTATTAGTAAGTCCTCTCCAAGAAAACTTTATTCAAAGTCTTTCTCTACATTAGAAAACAATTAAAAAAATCAGCCTCGGCTGGGCATGGCGGCGCACACCTTTGATCCCAGCATTCAGGAGGCAGGAGCAAAAGGATCTCTGAGATCAAGCCCAGCCTGGTCTCTAAAGTGAGTTCCAGGACAGCCAGGGGTGCGCAGAGAATTCTTGTATAAAAACCAAACAAGCAAACAAGAAAATCAGCCTCCCACCCAAATACCCACGTCCACCCGAGTTCCACCGACAGCGCGAATTCTCCTAAAGGGGGCACTCCGCCTCACAAACCATCCTTCAGTGTCTCCCAAGAGTGGCGCAGGGGAGCCCCAGCATCCGATCCAAGCCCCGATCCCCGCAGCGTACATCTGACTGCATCCACCCCCAAGTCTCCCCACGAAGGCGCCATCCCCAAACGCTCCTGGACCTCCAAGGGGGCTTCTCAGAACGCCGGAACCCCAAGGTTCCAAGTTTGGGAAGCAGGGTTCTCGAGCCTGTTGCTCGCCAAGCCTGGGTCTCGGCGTGGTGAGGGCGAGCGGGGCTCCCCAGGCCCAGAGGCCGCCACCGCCGCACGACGAGGCCGAGCCGGGGCCAGGCGCTCCCCTCCCCCCCCACGCCCGCGGCCCACACAAAGCCCGGCGCCGGGGCTGCGGGGAGGCGCGGACGGCCTCCGCCCGGGCGCGCGGCCGGCAGCGCGGCGACCCCCACCTTTCAGCGCCTCCTGCAGCCTCTCGACGTCCATGGCGCCGCGGAGTCCCTCGCCGCCGGCGCCTCCCTCGGCCGCCGTCCCGGGGGCCGCGGCGCCCGCCCCCCCGACGCCCGCCCCCGCCCTCGCACACACTCCGCCACACGCCGGCGACCGGGGAGGGGGGCGTCCCGAAGGGAGCCGGGGGGGAGGAAGCGAGAGACGGAGCGAGACCGACAGAGCGAGAACCTCCCCGAGCCGCTACCACCAGCCCTCCAACATGGCGCCCGGCACGTCAGCGCGCGCACGCTCCCCCCCACCCCCGACTGTCGTCCTCGCTCCCGCCGTGCGCGCGCGCACTTGCACTCGCACTCGCACACGCCCAAAAGTGCGCCCGGCACCGCCCAGTGCGCGTGCGCCGCGGGGGCACGAGTTTGCGGAGGAGCGAGTTCGGAGCCCGCGGCTGCCGGTGTGCTCGGAAGACGCCTCTGAGCCCACGGAGAGCCAATGATGTGTCACTTCGCCTGTCTGAGCCTCGGTTCCCCCATCCGTACACTGACGGCGCTGGTGCCGATTACTGTGTACTGTGGCAGTGACCACTGGCGCTCAGAGAATACATTTTCAATTTGGGAGGGGATAGGGTGTGGTGGAGGCTTGGCTTTTTTGTTGTTGTTGTTTGGTTGGGGGTTTTTTTGGTTTTTACGAGACAGGGTTTCTCTGTATTGTTTTGGAGGCTATCGGTCCAGCCTGGCCTCGAACTCACAGAGATCCGCCTGCCTCTGCCTCCCAAGTGCTGGGATTAAAGGCGTGCGCCACCACCGCCCGGCTGTATTTTGTTTTTATTTCTGAGGATCCTGCCTTTCCTAAACTGGAGGATGACCTTAAGCTATTCATCCTTCCCCACCCAAGTGCTGGGAGAATAGAGGTGTGCCACCATTCCTCTCTTTATGGGTGCTGGGATACAAACCCGGGTTTGGCAAACATTTTGCCAACTGTGCCGCATTCCAGCCCAGTATGCCTTTTCTTGTTTAAATATCTACATCTGTTTACTTATATGCTGGGGAGGTCATGAAGCACAGACCTGTGTGACCTTGGACTATTGATGTAAAATCTAGAAATTCTTAAAGCCTCAGTGTGTATTCGAGCCACCTCAGAGTCCTGCACATGCTGGGTAAGGCTCCAGCACTGAGCGAAGCCCTCAGCCAGGGAAGCCTCACTGTAAGGTCAGGGAGATGGTTCAGTAAGGTAAAGGCACTTGCTGCCAAGCTAGAACATGAGCTCCCTCCCTGGAGCCTCACATGGTGGAAAGAGAGAACAGGCTCCCACAAGTTGTCCCCTAGTCCTTACACATGCCCACTCCCACAAACACACAATACAAAAGAAAAGAAAGGAAATGGTGGCTATGGAGCATTCAAGATATTGGCTAAGATTCCGAAGTGTTCCAGCAGCTGATACTTTGTTGTCATGGGCATCAGTTCTTACAAGGAAGGAAAGGGCAGGAATAAGGGAGGGAGGGGCTCTTGAGCCCTGACAAAAGGAGACAAAATATGTCAAGACAGTTTCCGAACTCAGAACCTAGCACATGTGACTCTTGCCAGCATGAGCTATCTACTTTCTTAAAAGGTAGTTCCAAAGCCGGGCGTTGGTGGCGCACGCCTTTAATCCCAGCACTCGGGAGGCAGAGGCAGGCGGATCTCTGTGAGTTCGAGACCAGCCTGGACTACCAAGTGAGTTCCAGGACAGCCTCCAAAGCCACAGAGAAACCCTGTCTCGAAAAACCAAAAAAAAAAAAAAAAAAAAAAAAAAAAAAGGTAGTTCCAAGCAGGGCGTTGGTGGCACGCGCCTTTAATCCCAGCACTCGGGAGGCAGAGGCAGATAAATCTCTGAGTTGGAGGCCAGCCTGGTCATCTACAAGAGCTAGTTCCAGGACAGGCTCCAAAGCCACAGAAATCCTGTCTTGAAACCAACCCCCTCCAAACAAACAAACAAACAAACAAAGGTAGTTTCAGCATGATGGCTCATCAGGTAAGGATGTAGAGCCAGAGTTTGATCCATGGTACCCACATGGTAGAAAGAAAAAGTTGACTCCCTCTGGTCGTCCTCTGACTTCCATTAGGCACACACACAGAATAAAAATAAAGCAAAAGCTAGTGCTCACTCCTTCTTCCAAGACCCACCCGCCTACCACAAAGAAGGGAAGAAGCCTGTTGCTTGGCTTGTCTGAGACACAGCCATTTCAAAGCTGACCTTAACTGAGCCTGGCTCTGACTCTATCCCTAGGCTGTAGATGCAAGCAAAATACTCCCATACCCAAAATACCTCTGTCAATTTTGCCGACAAGTTTTCTCCATCTTTAAGCCACCACTGACCAGAGTACATGTTCAATCTCAAAAAGGTTTTGGGGGAGGACAGTGTCATGAAGCCATTAGTCATCAGCTGGGGTGCCTCCAGCGCTGAATGGATCTACTAACTCCACAAGGTACGATGTTTAACGTCTGCTTTCTGCTGCCCTATCTGCCATAGGGCTGGGGCTCTTCCATCAGAGCAATCTGCACTGCACGACCCAGCTGCCACTAGCCAAGTGCAGATATTTCAACCTGAGGAGTAAAACTCAGTGAAATTTAAAATTCACCTCCTGGATCCTTCACTTAAACCCAGGTCCTCGGGAGCCAGCCCGTTTCAAGAGCTGAGAACCCAAAGCGGTTGGTAGTTCTTGTATTCCATTGTTACAGGGTTACAGGGAGTTCTACCGGAACCTTCCACTAGAGAACGAGCCAAGTTCATTCCTGTCACGCTGCTTTGTCCCCTGCGTCACTCTCAGCTTGGGTCAGATTGAAATTGACTTTTATGGCTCTTCAGAATCCAAGTAGCTCTTTCTTTTTTATGTGCTGGGGATGGAACCTAAGGCCTCTCACATGCTAGGCAAATGCTATTGGGGAGCCCCCACCCCCTCTGCTTATTCACCTGCCCCCCATTCCTTCCTCTCACAACTTCCCTCCTCTCTCCCGCTACCCCCTCCTGTCCTCTCTGCAGTCTTCCCCAACCTTTTTCTCTCTCCCCCTCCTTTCCATTTCTCTCCACTTCCTTCCCTTCCCTTCCCTCTCCCCCTCCCTTCCCATCTCTTGTCCTCCTTTTCTCTCCACCTTCTTCCTCCTTTCTCTCTCCACTTTCTCCGTTTCCCACTCTTCTCATTTTTCTCCTCTCCCCTCTTTTCCTCTCCCTTCTGCCCTCCCTCTCCCTGTCCTGTTTGCTCCCCCTTCTTCCTTTTCTCCCCCCAACACCTCTAATGTTTAGACAAAATTGCACTCTGTAGACCAGGCTGGCTTGCAACTAGCCCTGTAGCCTAACCTGACTTGTAACTCACCACTCCCCTGCCTTCTTAGCCTCCTGAGTGTTAAGATTATAGGCATTGACCACCATGCCCAGCCACCCTGAGCCATCTCTCCAGCCTTCGCCTTTCAGGTTTTCTGGTTAAAAGCTCCTCTCCTGAAGTCCGCTGGGCGACCTGCCTCAAGTATTTCTGGTCTCCGTTTAAACTCCACTTTCCCTTGTTCACTTAGGCTGGCATTGCCCTGTGCACACTTCACTGTCCTGTACCTTATCTGGTATTTGGAGGCCAGGTTTGCAAAGAGTAGAGGCCTGAGGACTGTTTCTTTGATTCCTTTCCTACTTCCTCCTGGAATTCTTGACTGGTCAGTCTCCGGCTAAATCCTGCTAATTCCCTGGGAGGGAAGCAGGACCAAGACATGACTGCCAGTCACAAAATTCCCCATGATTCTTGAGATCCTGCCTGTATAAGATCTCTCCCTACATTGAATCAATGTGCATGGTGGAGGGATATGGCTGGATCATAGAAAACCCTGGGGTTTCTGCCTTGGGAACCTAATGGCAGAAGTCAGCTGCCATTCATGAGAACACTGGCTGGCCCAGTGGCAAGAGCCTGATGGGAAAGGCAGAGGAGAGCTTAGATCAGGCACTCTTTCAGTGACTGCAGCCCCAGCTGACCTAGGATTGCAATAAAGGCTGGATCAACTAGAACAGCCCTCGGAACAACTTCCCAATTCCTGAGAAAAGGAGCCATGAAAGAGGACAATGGTTATAATGGCTCCATTTCTGAAATTTCAGGATAATTTTTTTTTGAGAGAGTTTCCCAGTGCAGCTTTAACTCTTCTGAAACTTACTTTGTAGACAAGGCTGTCCTTGAACTCAGAGATCCATATGCCTCTGCCTCCCAGTTCTGGGACTAAAGCCATGTGTCATTATACCTGACTCAGGTTATTTATTTATTTATTTATTTTGGTTTTTTGAGACAGGGTTTCTCTATGCTTTGGAGGCTGTCCTGGAACTAGTTCTGGTAGGCCAGGCTGGTCTCAAACTCACAGAGATCAGTCTGCCTCTGCCTCCCAAGTGCTGGGATTAAAGACGTGTGCCACCAACGCCAGGCTCAGGTTAATTTTTTATGTATACTAGAAAACCAGTGCAAGCAAAAATTAAATAGTAACAAAAATTACTAAGTTTTTAAGGGTTTTCTTTTGTTTTGTTTCTCCCTCTTTTTTTTTTTTTTTTTTTCTTTTTGGACAGGGTCTCACTGTGTGGTGATCTGCGAGACTTGACTAAACTGGAACTAACTTTATAGATTATGCTGGCATCAAATCAACAAAGATTCACCTAGCTCTTCCTCAGGAGTGCTGGGATTAAAGGCTAACTTCATACTAACTCCACACTCTCAGGGGAGAAGTCACAGGACTCTGGCACAGATCAGCAGGGAGTTTGGCCATGACAGCTGGTGTGCACAAGGGCCTTAGCTTTCTCTTCACTGTGACCTGTGACAGCTTCAGGAACAAGGATTCTTCTTTGTAATTTCTTTTGAGACAGGGTTTCTCTGTGTTACAATCCTTGTTATCCTGGAACTCACTTTGTAGGCCAAGATGGACTGGAACTCACAGAGATCCACCTGCCTCTGCCTCCCAAGTGCTGGGATCAAAGGCATGTGTCATCACTGCCCAGACAGGAGCAGGGATTTATTTAACTCACGATTTTGGAGGGCTTAGCCCACCATGGTGGGGAAGGCACGGTGGAGTCACCCAGGACTTGGTGGTGGGAGCTTGAGTTAGGCATTGTACACAGCACAGCAGATAAGGAAGCAGAGAGAGCAAGGCATGAACCAGGAGCCAGGAATAGCCTCAAAGGCCACTTCCTGTAACTACTTCCTCCCACCCACCCCCAGCCCATGCCTGCCCCAAAATGTTTGACAGTGTTGCCAAGCATTGCCACCTGCTGGGGACCAAGTACTACAAATTGAG